GCATTGCCAACATCAAGCTGCAGACGACACCGGCATGTGCCTTTTTACATCCCTTGTTTCATGCATGCCTTGAGGAGGAAGAAGCATTCTGTTGTTGTTCAGGAAGTTTAGCAGTGGCTGCTACACCCCTGCTCACAAAGGCAAAAGGCTACAGAGTAATGCTGGTGGCCTTCGCACCGGAGGCTGAGGGGGGACTGAGTGCTAGACTCGCCCCCGATAGCTGGCTCCCCTGTTCCCCTCGGCCAGTGCCATCACAGATATTCAAGGGAATCCTACAGCATTAACGATCTGCCCGTCTCCCTCTGCCTATCCCCCACAGACAGGCAGAAATGCTGCCGCCTCTCAGCTGAGGCATAGCAAGATGAGCAGCCCGCCTGCACCACAGCCCTTCTGCCGTGGCACAGGGTGGCAGGGAGAAGTGTAAGGTTCCATAGTAACTGTGCTTCCGTCCAGTGAAAAGTAGCCTTTATTTGTGCTGTTCACCATGCTCACAGCTGTGGGTTAAAACGTATTAAAACTGACAAGAGTCCCCAGGGCAGGGAACCAGAAAGGTCTCCCCCACATTGCCAAACTTACAGCAGCCTGGTGCTTGTCTCGCTGAGAGGCTTAAATTATTATACTAAAATTAATTTTTAATTATGTTAGTTTTCTTTGGCTCTAGGGGTTTTCTTCTTCTTTGCCTCACATTTTCAGAGGCATTCAGCGACGAGATGAGACCAGTGTCTGGCAGAAAGATATTCACTGGTGTGGGGCCAGAATCATGAGGGAGGCTCAGGAGAATTCCTCTCCTGGGCCAGGGAGAAAGAGCATTCCTGTTGGAGAAAGGAGTGGTTGGCATCAGAGCTGATGGTCTCCCATTCTGGTGCTTGAGGCAGCATGAAACCAAGAAAGGGTGATATGAGTGATACCAGGGAAGCAGAACAAGAAAGGTCACCTCTCTGTCTTGAGTTGAGATTGACTGTTTGGAGAGTAATGAGCATAGCTGGGTCAGTGGCGTTTGAGACTGAAAAGCAGGATTGGTCTGGGATGTATCTTCTACCTCCTGTTCAATATCATTCAGCAAGATGTACGGAACAGCTGATGCTGACTTTGAAGAAATACTGTTTCAAATCCCTTACCTCTTGAATTGCCTGCAGCCTAGTAAAGCCTTCCTTTGCTCCTAAGGCAGCAGGTCAGGTGATAAGATACCACCAGGAGATGACCAGTATGTTAATTCTTTATTACCATTAGATGAGGAAAAGTTCACTTCAGTGGTTCACTCTAGGGCTAATTCAGATTTGCGGTACTCACACTGGTCTGAGGAAGAGCTGATGTGCCCCTTCTCTCTGGGAAACAAGACACCTCACAGCCAGGAGCGTTTGCAGGCTGAAGGCTGCCAGAGCCTGTTATCACTTCGTGAGCAAACATCACACACTTGGCTGAAACTAATCAGATTGGTACCAGCATCCTCTGGGTGCCTGTAATTCCTATTTGTTATTTTCTGAGCATCACCATATCAGCAGCCTGCAGCCTGTTGATCCTTCCTCAAAATGCTGGTGTTGACTAGACATTCTTCAAAAACCAGCACATCAGTAACAGGGACTGAGACAGGGCTTTGCTTTGCAATAAGCTTAAGTCAAGCTCTGTCTTGAGTAAGGCTGCCCCTTCCAGAGGGGCTGCTGGCCTGAGCAGGTTGTGCTGACCCCAGCTGTGGACAGAGGGCCAGCCTGGGGAAGCAGGTCCCCCAGGTCACTCTGATGCCCCTCAGAAGAAGCTGTAATACAGCAGACTCCAGCGGTACCCCCCCACACAGCCAGGGGGGAGCTGCTGGTGCTTAGCCCCACAGCGGGGTCCAGCTGAGTAGCTCGTCTGCCCCTCCCCTAGGGACTCTAGGGAGGAATACCGGCGGAACCAAGGTTTTCTGCAAGACTTGGCTTTGTCCTTGCCGTAGTCTGGCCAATGGCATTGCTTTAATGTCTAGCTGCAGCTGCGACTGTTGAGACAAGGTGTCCAACAGCTGCTGCAAGGTGTGCTGGAGCACGTGAGCTGAGCAGCAGCACCTGCGGAGCAGCAGGGCCATGCCAGCAGGTGGAACCTGCCTCCTCCATCAATTCCTTGCCTTCTCCGCAGGCAGCTTTTCCCTCATGGAAGATTGTTTTACCTTCTGCCCCACGGGAACTTGTGCTCTCCTGCTTGAAGACTCCTGCGTGACCTGGTGCCTCCCATGCCTGCTGCTGCCTCCGATGGGGGAGAGTGTTTTATGGTTTCTTCTCTGTTTACATTTTACAATGTAAAACTCCACATAAGAACTGCTGATTTTAGGTCCGGATGGCTTCAGTTTGGTGCCTGGTACCATTTAAGGTTTTACTACCTTGAGTAACCTGTGGTTTTGATCATAGACCAGAAGTCTAAATCGTGGCCCTTGAGAACACAGCCAAGAGCTATGGGGCATACGCAGGGCTCTGATCTGCGATAGACACCTCCTGTTGCGCCTACACCCAAGTAAGCCACAAAAGTAGCTACAGCAACCACCATACAGCAGCCTAAATAGAAATAATTTTTGGTAGTCTGTGAAGGGGTGGCAGTGAGCTGTGGAGACGCTCTCTGCTTGCTTCTGCTTGCCATGCTTGTAGGAGTGAGTGATGGACAGCCGCTCAGGCTGGGTTGTCTTGTCTTGCCTTGTTTTCAGACAGTTGGTACCCACCTTAAATACCCTCTACCATCATGGCCACCACACAGCAGCCTGAGCACAGGTTGCAGATTGAGAGCCACCGTGGAAAGTAGATTGCTGCCTGCCCGGCTGTCCTTTTCAGCCCAGAGTCAGAGTCTTACCATTTATTCTGGAAAACCCTCTTACGGTGAACTACAGATTCATAATCCATTTTATTTAAATGTTTTACGCTCTAAATAAAGAAAAACACCTCAGAGCCATCGTCAGGGACCCCCGTGTCCCTCCAGGGAGGTCACTGGGAGGTACACGCACATGCTTGGGTGAGATGGGCTGCTTATGAGCCCCTAAAGAGCATCATCGCAGGCAGGAGCAGCAAACTTGAGGCATGCAACGTGTGGCACACCTACCACCGACGTTCCCCCGGGGCGCCCCAGGTACACGTGGAGGAGAGCAGGGTCTCTGTGGCTTTGTCCGAGTCAGTGCGGTGCTGTGAGAGCTGCGGTGCCCGCTAACCTGGGTGAGTGTCACTCACCGTGGGCAAGCAGGGGGGCAAGGGGGGGTGGTGGTGTGTGTGTGTGTGTGGGGGGGGGTACACGGGCCCAGTGGCTCATTCACCTGCGCTCCCGCAGCTCGGTTGGAGCCCACGGCGCTGCGAGCTGGGATACGTGTCTGCCTGGAGAAGCGGTGGAGGCAGGGGATAAATGGTGTTTTTCAGTCCATTTCTCAGGCGTGCTGTAATTGCGTCTAGACAGGCAGTACTTGGATGGCTGCCCTGTACCGTGCGCCGGGGCGGGGGGGCTGCTGTTCCCAGTGGGTTTTGCCAGCTATCCTTCGTCTCCAAAGGGTCTTAACTCTCCTCAGCTACAGTAGAGATGCTTCCTGGCTATTCTGTCCCCTGGCTCGTTTACAAACGGCACCTGGCGTCGGGGGCCCTGGGTATCCCACTCCTGCTGCCTGGTGGGGCGGAGTGAAGGGGAGCAGAGGCTGCGGGACCCCTTGCTGCGCCTGCATGGCTGCCCAGCCGCGCTGTCCGAGCAGAGGTCTCCCGACACCAGGAGTTATTTACAGCCCGTGGCGGTCTCTGAGCTCCCTCTTTCTCTCTGCAGGAGAGGAGCTTTCTGCGTTCTCCAAACGCTCTTCTAATGCGAGTATCAGCATGCAAGTGAAGCCCTGTACAATGTCTGTGGTTCTTCAGCAGAGTACAGACTCACTGCTCGCCCCTCCTCTTCCAGCCAGTGGTGGAGCCAGGGGAAAAAAAAAAAAAAAAACCAAAACACAGCAAAGATGAAAACATGGTAGAAAACAAAGGTTAGGAGGAGGCATTTCAGTTAAAAAATGAGGGAGTGCGGATTATTCTACTGCAAATAATGAGTGGGGGCTCCTCAGCTGTCCCCCCGGCTTCCTGAGGAGGGCGGGGGGGTGGGGGGGTGTCGACTGGTTGCACCTTTGATTGCTTCTGTTCTTTGGCCTTTCCCGTGAGGCTGCCTATGTTCATATTGCCACAGTAAAACTGGGCATGGAGCTCAAGCAGCATTTGAGTGAGGGGGAGAGAGATTGCTTTCTGTTGGAGCTGAGTTTGTGTAATTATGGGTAGGTTTTGTGGTGTCTTTTTTTTTTTGTCCATAGCAGGTTATAGTTTGAGACGTTGCTGTCAGTTCTGTGATCTGATAGTTCAAATTATAATTATTAAATAAAGGACCGTATTTTTAGATATAGAACTTTCCCTAACCCTCATAGCTATGTGGGTACCAAAATGCTGCTTGGTCTTCTGCCACACCTCCTGTTCCTCACCTCTATTCTGAATCGCCTTGGGGATCACTTTTTGAAGAATACACTTGAATTCAAGAAAGATCGGACTGAACATGACACCTGAGAGATGCTAGGCCAGGGCTTGATATGGACCTAGTCACCCTATAAAAGATCTTTTTCCTTGTTTCCACCTTCCTGTCAACTGTGTATATAAAACAACTGAAACTGGTCTCTGGTGATCTGTGTTACGAAGCATTCTAGTGAGAATTACTGTCCACAGGTTGATTGACTAGACTGATACCCCCCAATATCCTGTGTTCCGAGTACCTCCCGTGCTGTCCAGCAACTTTGAGCAGATGGAGTAACGCTACCTCAAGCCTGCCTGACATAGCAGGGAAACTACTTGACCATATTTTCAGAATTCATCTGCTGGAAGTGCTTGCAGCAGCTGTCTGTTTCTTTCCCAGTTGCAAGTAAAATGCAAGTAATAATAAAGACCTCTTGTGGGCGTCGAGGAGGATGAACGTTTTGTACAAGGAAAGCATTTAAGAGGATTACAGGTGGGAAAAGGCTTATGGAATGGCTACAAAGGTACCAAAAGTTCCAATTACATCTGCGTTTTATTGGATTAATGCAGTTACAATGCAGTATGGAGGGCACCTCCCCAGGCAAACAACACATGCTGTCCACAAGCATCTCGTCCCAAAAGGCAAACAAAAGAAGAAGCTAGAGCTCTGCTATGTGCTCCAGAGGTGGAGGACAATGGTTTTGGCTTTATATTAGTAAAGAGAGGAAGCCCTTCCCAGACAGAGGAGCTGTGGCATGGACGCAGGCAGAGACGGCACACACAGTTACACCCAAAGCTGTCAAACAATTGCGGCTAGCAGCACAGCTAAGCCTGGTCTTGGGAGCGAGAGCTGGAGCCTCTGGTCTGGTACAGGGAGCGGGGGAAGATGAGAGAAATGTGTCAAGGCTGTCCCAGGTTAGGTTTGTCTATACAAGGAGAAGAGCATTAGAGTGCCCTGACACGAGACCAGCTGACATGGTACGGCAGGGCTTGTCTGGTGTTTTCATCCAGGAACTCCTGGAGATGGCTTTGTAAAATACAGCTGGGAAAGGAGACGGTGGCAGGGCTACCTGTGTCCAGCTCCTGGCAGCTGGGGTGAATGGAAATCCTTGTGTGCTGACAGGGGTGTCGGCGAGGGGAGCCAGGAGAGTCCTGGGTCTGATCCCGAGCCACACGTCATGTCTCACTGGGAGGGATGTTACTGAAACATCTCTACCTCAGGTTGTGGGCTATAACAGGAGTTACTGCAGCAGTCAGGCAGGACAAACCCTTAATCTTGCAGTGCTTCTTGATGAGGAGAGGAGCAAAAACAGAGACTGGTTCCAAAGACACCACAAACAAGTTTTGAGACAGGGTGCATGCAACGTGCCCTGGCTGAAAAAAAAACAGGTTTGAGCCTACTGCAGGCATGGCTGGAGCCATCCAAGGCCTTGTTCATTACTTAGTGGCCCCAATAGATGACTGGGTGCGTGGTAGATAAGTAGTGGCCGATCTATTGCTGGTCCTTGGGTTAGGAAGAGAGGGGGCACTGTGATCATGTTGCACTTCTCACACGATCTGACCTACCAGAGGGGTGGTAGCCACCTCACTGCCTTGCAAGGAGCAATAAAATACAAGCTGGCAGCACAAGGGAAGCTTTCATTTGCAACTGGGGCAGATTTCTCAAGCACCGAGACTGACCCACTTTTACGGGCAAACCTTTTGCTGGAGACAACAGAGATGATGTCATTTCTCTATCAGTGCTCCGTTTCTAAGTTTCCTTGCCAAATTTTTGCTCTTGGCTCCTGATCGGAGGGATCAGGATCGTTATCAAAGAGGTCCCGTTCTGCCCTCTTATTAGCACTGCTGCGCGTGAGCTGGGTGCCTTCTGCAGGCTGCGGCTCCAGCAGTGGGAGGGCAAATGCGGATTTCCCAGCGCGTAGGCAGGGGAGAGAAGAGAAGCTGCCCGCTCGGGTCCCGTGCACTCCCAGCTGCGGTGGCCGACCTTCCAGGGACTCACCGGTTGGACTCTGTGTCTTCTTGCCCTCCCTCCCCAGAAGCGGGAAGCACTTGTGCTGTCTCAAGCAGGAGCGCCTGAGGCTCGGTGTGGGAAGCCAGCGGTGCAGGTGGGGCGCGTTCCTGCTCTTCGCTTGGGTGCAGGGGGTGCCTGGCAGTGACCGCGTCACGCCGGCCGCTCGCGGCCGAGGGGAGCGCGTCGCTCCCCGCAGCGGGTAAAGCAGAGGGAGGGAAGGGCCCCGGCGCCCCGTCCCCCGCCCAGTCGCGGCCCGGCGGTCAGCAGCAGAGGATCTTGAGGAAGGCTTTGCGGAAGTCGGTGTTGAAGGTCGTGTAGATGATGGGGTTGAGGGCGCTGTTGACGTAGCCAAGCCAGGTGCTGGCACTGTAAAGCCCCGGGGGCACGTGGCAGGACGGGCAGTGGGCGTTGAGGATGTGAATCAAGAAGAAGGGCAGCCAGCAGACTATGAATGCCCCTGGGTTGAGAGAGAAGGGGAAAGCCACCCATGACTTCAGAGAAGCAACTGCTTGGAAAGGGGCCTGCGCCTGTGCCCTCTCCCTCCACCCTCTCACTATTTCCATGCACGTGTCTGCATTTGGTAAACGCTGAAGGTGACATTTATTCCTGATACAGAGCGACTTGGCAAGAGCTCAGGCTCCTTGGGACCAGTTACGTGAATGGATGGATGGGACTTCAGGGGTGGCCTGGTGACAGACAAAAGCGAGTGGCCACATCTTAGAGGGAAAGACTGCTGCCTTGGCTGCTTTCATCAGTTACGACCGGGGCTGCATTCTTTCCCTGCTACGACTGAGTTAATGAGGGGTAGCAGTGCATCTGGTGACCGTGGCAGGTGACTGGGGTACCAGTCTCCTGGCTTCTCTATACAGCTCTATGAGCTTGTTCCTCTGCTGCTCCTTGCCTCAGTTTCCCCTTCCGTAATTGGATCTAAGAACTGATGAGTGTATGGAAACTTAGGATTGCTTCAGCTTTACAACAATAATAATGAAGTAAAAGGGAAAGCAAAGGTGTTGGCTGTTGTTCCCTCTAGCAGGGCTTGCTGGCCACTGATTTAAAACAAAAGGGTAACAAAACATGGCAAATAAAACACTAACATGCTTGGCTCTCAACAGTTGCTGGCATTACCCTAGATCCCTATATGTCCCACTGTTGCCTCTCCTGAGTTTGTGGAGCAGTGACAGCCAAAGCCTGGGCCTGGATTGCATTTTTTCAATCTCAATACTGTATTAGGAGGTTCCTTGCTCCTGCAAGTCCCAAGCCATCACCCCTTGCACCCCACTAGACAGAGTGGCTCTCACTCACCCAGGACAATAGCTAGCATCTGTGTAGCCTTCCTTTCCCGAAGCTGAATCAGCCGGGGCTGCTGGTGCGCTAGCTTCAAAGAGCTGATGGTTTTGCCATCGCTGAGCCTCCGTACCTCCAGTCCTGGCTTCATACTCTTTCTCCTCTCTTCCAGCCTGCTGTGTCGTGTAGTCCCTGGTGTCTTGGTGAGGGATGCCTCATGGCAGAAGCTGCGGTACCGCTGCAGGCTGAAGACAGTCAACAACTTCCTTTTGGTTGACATCTCCTGGCCTGAGCATTTGAGCGGGAGACAGGGGGAAAAGGTGCCTTGGCATCTGTTTGGCAAGGCTTTTCTCTCTAGGTGTTCCTGCAAAAGAGGATGACACAGAGGAACTGGGAACCATCCAAACCATTCATTGGGTCAAAGGATGATGAGGAGAGTTGTAGGAGTCATCCTTAGCCCCACTTGCTTCTTAGGTACGCACTATAGCCTCTGGACTGACCTTGGCTTATCAGAGGAGTGAACCAGCACTGGACAACTCTGCCTCCATCCCACCAAGGAGAAGCATGAGAACAAGAAGAGCTGGAACACCTGCTTTGCTAACCTTTCACTTGTATTTTTGTGTTGGCCCTCCTTCCCTTAACATCCCCACCCTTTTTTAATGTAGCTTCACTCTGAGAAAATGGGTAAAACAAGTGGATAGGCGTGACCAGGCGATCCCTTTCAAACCATTGTGCTGGTTCCCATGGTTGCAGATATTTCATCTAGAAAGGTCAGTGGAACAAATGCTCCGTGCACCATAAGCATTTTGACCTCTTAAATCTGTCAGTTGAGAAAGTTGTTTTTTTTTTTTAAATAATCTAGGTTAAAGCCTGTAAAGCCCTGAGAACAAAGCTTCATAGAACAAAAAAATCAATAAATGAAGACATTAAAAATCAATAAATGAAGAAATCAGACAGACTTCTGCATGGCTGAGAAAGCCCTGCTCTGAAGAAATATTGAAGTAGGCTGTGTTCTTTTCTAGTGGCCTGGTTCTAGAGGGCAGAGATACACAGGGAGTATCCTCTTTCTAGAGGGCTGAAAAGGATTTAACTGGAGCTTCTGCATCTCGAATATCATGGTGTATGGGTGAGGGATGGGATGAAAACATGCCATGTCCCTTCTTTTTGCTTTCTATTCTGCGCTTTGGCTCCTTGAGGAGGAGAGATGATGCATGCCCCGTCCTTTTTTGACAGCTCCCACTGGGTTCATGTGAATCTTACATTGTGTGCATAACACGGTTTGGTGCTGGCGCTCTGGCTGCCCTGCCGGGTGAGGGATCGCTTCTTTTGTCTTTGTCTTAGCACGAGGTAAATCCGGACATAGAGCAGCAGGGTCACCATGAAGGGGAGGTAGAAGGACACCAAAGAGGAGTAGATGATGAAACTAGGGTTGGATATGGAACAGACACTGGGATCCGCTGGGGAGGAGAAGAGAGAGAGAGGAGTGGCTGAGCTGCTTTCGTTTGGTACAAGGGGCCTCTGGTATGTTGGCAAAGCAAGTCAAAAGGCAGCCAGGGGATAAAGGTGGTCTAAGGAATGCAAGTATCTCCTATTTCTGTTGTTGTAAATTATACTGTGGCCTATCCACTCACCTAACTGACGCTTAAAAAGGACTCTACCTAGGGCCATCTAGCATGACCCAGCATCATCTGCCTGCTCTCCTGGCCAACAGCTCTGCCCTCTTCTCTCACGTCTATTCCCATACTTTCTCAGAGGATCCTTTCTCCTTTTGTCCTTCCTCCTATTCCTCTGACAGCCTCTGAGCTGCCTAGATGCAGAGTTATGCCTTCACCCCCACCTGTCTGGACCAGGCAGGGGGAGACTGCAGCTCTTCCCACCCCCTGTCCCTTCTCGCCTCCAGCACTGCATAGAGGATGGATGGGGAGCAGAGAACTTCTGCCTGTGGCTCCGGGGGGAAGAAGGCTCCCCTGCCCCTCTGCCTCCAGGGAGAATGAATGGGCTGCCCTAGGTGGGGAGAAGGAGAAAGACCAACCTGCTTCCAGGGAGGAGACTAAATTGTTGGCTATTCTCAAGGGATTAGGTGAGGAAACACAACAGCCGGTTGGATGGGTAGGAGGTTTCTCAGAAGCAGTGCCAATATGCAATCCTTGCTGTTTAGAAATGTGTCCTGCATCAGATTTAAAACCGTGTGTCTGTACCTGTTGATATCAGCAAGGTGCAGTGTCCGATGTGCGTGTGTGTGTTGGACGTTCTGCATGTCTGGAGATTTGCTTGGGTGGAGGGATCTTTAGACCTGGACACTTTGATGGGCATTGATTTGGCAGTAAAGCAGGCAGGTCTGTCCTCAGAGCAATATTTGGTGTCATTCCTAAGCAAATGGCAAGTTTATAGATAAGAGCACATCTGCTCTCCAAGCACTGGAGATTTTTCTTACCCTCCTTAGTGTGCTTTCCAGTTCCCTAAAATTTCCTATAACTTGGAAAGTCTGCAGGACCCATGTTAAATAACCTGGCCATGCACAGGGCAGCTCCATTTCCAACCCCTCTCTGTGTGCTATTGGTTGGGATATCACCTACCTGTAGTATTGAAGCCAAAGAGGAGAGGGCACGACACTGCGAACGCCAGCATCCAGACTATCACGATCATGAGAGAGACCCTCCTGCAGGAGCTTTGCCCAGTGCTGTACTGGTATTGAACTGGTTTCACCACTGCAGTGTATCTGCGGACCAAACCAGCTCCAGAAAGAGGAGAGGTAAGAATGGAAGGAGGAAAAGGACCAGGTTTTAAAGGGAGAAATGAAAGCCACATAGGGAACATGATGGTGAATGTGGTGAAGAAATGGAAGAGGAGAAGAGAGATCAGATGATGGGATCAGTGATTTTGTAGAAATGGTGAGCGGGGGCGTTGAGGGGAGGAACAGAGGAAATCAGAGTTAGCTGGCAGCCCTGCAGAGAAATGCTCTGCAAAACTGCCGGCACTGTGAAGCTACAAGGTTTGGGATAGCAGCTGGGACCAGAAACCCCAAGAAACCCCCACCCCTCAAGCCCCTAAGGTTATATGCACTGCTGGGAAAGAGCAGTCTCTGGAGCAACCATAGCCTGCTACACCCCGTGCCTCGGCTGCCCGCTCTGGTGTCAGCCTCACCGACAGCCAGAGGATTGCCCACGGGTGGGTGTCCGGGGCCTTTGGCTGCCAGGGTGCCCCAGGGGACTCAGCTCAGCAAGGCTAGGATTTGGAAGGCACAAGAGTCATGTTTTTAGGCTAGCCCAGGGGCTGCTCCTTGCAGACAGAGGCAAAGTGAAGTGGCGATAAAGATTCCCATGGAGGAACACCAGAGCAATCCAACGTTGAGAGCTGCTTTGTACAATTACCCTTGAGCCACATATTGAAAAGGTACAGCATGCAGTGTTTTTTCCCTCCCTCCCTCACTCCTCAGTCCTAACAGCACCACGTGTGCCAAGGTCGTGGCTCCTAGCCCTCAGTATTGCTTAAAAAAGGCTCAATTTTAAGATGCAGAAAAACAGGGCAAGGCTGAAGAGTGCACAGCAATAATTTTCACCCCTCCCTGTGTATATGGCAGGATTTGGTTTATTAAAACTTCATGAGTGAGGTCTCTAGAAGGAGAAACGCTCTTTGAGACTCAACAAGAATTAGATAATCAGTTCTGGTTCTGGCCTTCAAAAAGCATGAGCAAGTGGTTGATTCCCTATTGGTGATGTTCTATTGCTTCTGCCTCTCTGCCCTTAAGTGGAGGCATCTTCTAGCACGTGGGCAGAGCCACACTGATCGCTGTAATGGCAGTGATAGACTTGCAGGGACGTTTGTGCCCCTGAAGACACCCATACTGCCTGTGCAAACCCCACCTCCTTGTCCCGGCCATGCTGGGGTACGGGGCTGACCCCCGCCTCCAGACTATCCCCCTGGATGCCGCGGGCTCTCACCTGTCAATGCTGATAGCACAGAGGTTTAAAATGCTGGCTGTGCACATCATTACATCCATGGTGACGAAGATATCACAACAGATGCGGCTGAAAGTCCAGACTCCTCCTGTCACCTGCAGCAGCAACCATAAAACTGTCAGCCTTGTTCTGCACCGAGTCCTGATAAATTACTTACAGGTAGGTGCTCTCCTCCAAGTGTCTCATCAGCTAGATGAGTTCACGTCCACTCTCATGTGCAGAGGGAAACTGAGGCGCCTATGTTGTGTGCAAGATAACACAGCTGTAGGTCGTGGAGAAGGAGCCACACCTTGATTTCAACCCTTTAGTTACTCTTACAGAGGGAGATAAGGTGAAGGAATTGATAGCAGCTATCTCTTCCCTTCAGGCCTAGCATGATAAATTGATTTAAATTTGATATCGCTGTATATATCCTTTGATTAAGCATTATCTGAGAAATATCTAAGGGCTGTAAGTGTTTCTTATCTTAGCTGCTGGCGACCTCTTGCAGGCAGTGAGGTGGAAAAGTGCCACAAATTTTATGCATTTATGTATGAAACAGAGACCTGAGACCTGATGCTTCTCTAAAACCTTATTTGGATTCCTATCTCAGTTACAGCTTTTCATTATCAGATCTGAGTGAGAGCTCACAAGCTATTTGGATAAAGAGTTTTGGTTTGCTATCATGTTGAGCTTTTGTTCTGGTTGCTTTGAATTTTTAATCTGAAGTGTGTAATCACGAAAGCTTAGCTGTGGCCAATCTTTGTGATGGAGAAATGCATTTTTTGGCCCAGCCATCAAGCTCTTGACAATGACCTTTTCGGTTGACAACAATATGCTCCCAGCACCATGTGGCACTGCTCTTCTCGGGGCTGGGATGATAACCTGGCTCAGAGCAAGGTGGTCTGCCTCAGCACCCACTCCTTGTAGGAGATAAACAAGGAGGCAGAGTGCCCTCCAACAGATAAGCCCGTTGGATGAGTAGAGCAAACAAATCTAACACTGTGGTAGTTGGAGAAGGGGGCTGAGCGAGAAAGAGGGAGGAAATTCCTTGCTTGGAAAGAGGCTGGATTTTAGCCTTCAACCCCGTAGATACTGCTGGTTCAGCTGGATCCTGGGAAGCTATCAGGAACCGGAGCTAGTTCCTTGTCTCTCTGCTTACATTTAGATCACATCTGGAGTTCTGCGTTCGGTTTTGGGGCCCCATTACAGGAAAAGCATTGATAAACAGGAGCGAGTCCAGCGGAGGGCCACCAAGACAGTCCCGGGGGGCTGGAGCACTTGTCCTGTGAGGAGCAGCTGAAGGAACGGGGCTTGTTTGGCCTGGAGAAGCGGTGGATTTTGGGGGGGCTAACAGCAGACTCCGAGTGCCTAGTGGGAGGCTTTTAAGAAAGTTGGAGCCAAATTACTAAGAAGATGGAGCCAGGTTTTTCACAGCAGCGTGTGGTGGGAGGACAAGAGGCAACAGGCGTAAGTTGAAAGCAGAAAGGTGCAAACTGGTTATGAAGGTAAACATTCTGACCATGAGGCCAGTGAGGCGGTGGAGCCGGTTGCTTGGTGAGCCCGTGCAGGTTTCACCCTTTGAGGTTTTCAAGACCTACTCAAAAATACTCATCCCAGATCAGGCTGGAGAGGGTGCCACAAGTAAGCTTGGCTTCTAAGGTGGTGGGGTCAACCCTGCAACAAGTGTCGATGCCTAGGAAGGACGTGGCTCCCTGCAGCAAGAAGCATTTGTATAAATACAGAATTCAGTCTGCGCGAGTTGTTTTCACAGTTGTTTAAGAAATAATCCTGAGAAATTTCAATGGGTTGGTTTGTGCCAGAATTCCCGCACGTGGGCACAGAAACTCACTGAGGTGACCTGTATCTTTAGGGTATTCTCTGCTGGACCCAGCTGCTACATGTCAGAAGCCAGCTACTGAACTGGCGTCTTCCATTAGACCCCCTGACTCTGAATGAATGCAAGGGAGAGAAAGGGGAATTGGCTTGCAAAATGCAGTAGGGAACTGGGTTTTTGTCTTCAGTTCTTTGATACCTGTGGGGCTCGTTTGTTTTCTTTTTTAAAAAAGCAAGCAAAGGAAAAAAAAAAAAAACAACAAACAAAAAAAACTAACAAAAAATCCCAAACCCTTAGAGGTTTTCTGCACAATTAGGTGGGCTACAAGATGTGCAAACTGAACGCTGTCCATCTGAAATTAAGGACCTTAATAGGTAGGTTCAGGTTTCAAAGAAACTCAACACCGTTTTTTCTTTAGTCACACAATTTGAGATCTGCTTGACAACCTCAAAATAGGTTAAAAACAATATGAATGCTGGAAGCCTTTGCAGTGGGACCCAGTAAGGGATGTTTCTGTAGTCTGAGGCAAAATGCAGTGCAGTGTCTGTGTGATCTGTGGAGTCTGAAGAATATTTCACCAGGAGCTGGTGCCAGGTGTTCGCATGAAAGCCAGCTGCCGCTCCCCAGCAGATGTGCAAGCACTTAACTGAGGGAGTTTCCAAGGTCCTGAGCACATTCAGATGCTAAGCTCAAGAATGCGAGCCATTAAAACTGAAGGTGGTGGTGGTGGGAATGGCTCTGAAGTGAACCCTCTCAGGATGATGCATTCACACCACCTGCATGCTAAACTGTAGCTTGTATTAAGTGGATGCTTGACAGATCAAAACGTTTGGGCTTATAAACCATCCTCACTTCCACCAGCCACTTCTAAAATGGGGAGTACCTCTGCTGAAGCCAGTGAAGTGGTTAATATTTACCTGTGGGGTGTGCGAACACAGAATTTATTCCAGAATTTAACACTGAAGAAGGGCCTTTTTATTATAGGCCTTGTTCATAATTTTTAAAAATCTATTTCTGCTCTTCCTTTCATTGCTCTGTTCCGCTCATCTTTGCTACAGCAGCTAGAACTTGCTAGTGTGCATTTCTGGTTTTCATGTGCTGGCAGGGTACCTGTTCTTTATCGCTCTGGTGTCTTTCATCCAGGAATCTCAAAGCACATCACAGAGATTAAATGAATGAATCCTCACAACTGCCTGGGTGAGGTGGATGGTCAAATATTATTCTCTTACAGCTGATGAGAGCGAACCACAGAGAGATGAGCTGATATCATTTCTCATTACCACTCAGTGCATGTGTGGCAGAAGTGGGAACAGAGTCCAGGATGAAATCCTGGCTCTATCAAAGACAATGCTAAAGCTCCCTATAGACTATTCAGGTCAGGTTCTCACCTCATCTTTCTTGATGTCCAGTCTGCATTATCCACAAAATTGCAATATTATTATTTTTAAATTTCCAACCCTAAAGGAAGTCTTCCAGTTAAAAAAAAAAGAAAAAATCATTGTGCATTCATAAACTTTTGCAAATCCATCACTCTCCTGAATCCTTAAAAATAAACAAAAGAACCTCTGTAAATCAGATATGTATGATGATACTGTATTGAGGAGTACATGGATGGGAAAGGATGAACACAAAGCTGCACCAGGTGATGACAGGCATGTAAGTAGCGGTGCACCTAACCATGCTCACTTAAATGTTTTGTGTTTAAGAGAGCTTTCTTCTTGGGGATGCTGTTAGCTCCCCCGCAGGTGGGAGATAGCTGCTTACGTTTTTGCATGGTGGGAGTAACTAAGAGCACGCATGCTGTCAGTAAACTGCTGAGCTGCAGTCGGTCAGTTGTCTGTCCTCCCTTTGACGGTCGCCTGGCGAGCTCCTTCATCTCAGAGAGCAGCTGTAGGTCTCACTGCCCCGCTTTGAGAGCCATGGAAGAAGAGATGGAATTACTCTCACACTCTCTGAACAGAGCTGCAGACTGGGACCTCAGTGACAATCATCTTCTGAAGCTTTTTTCCCTTTGAAGGTAGAACTGGATGCTGTGAAAAGACTGAGGAGAATGCTCCAGGCCATGCTGCTACATGTCCTCCTCCACTTATACAATGACTACGAGGCATGATAGTATTTAATGCCAACAGACTCCAGTGGGCAGGATACCCTAACGCCTCTGTCTTAGAAACCTTGGTGAGCTTGTCCTCACGTCAGCCAGAGCATCAGAGGTCAGTAAGGCACTGGGGTCACAGTACTGGTATATTAGACCTATCCATTAGCCCCAGAAGATTGGTAGCCACAGTGCCGAATGGCATTTCTGTGCCAGAAGCTTCATTAGGGGGAGATGGGGATTTTGAGGTTATAAAATGTTCCTATTGTTGCTCTGTCACAGCCTTCCCAAAAAACTTCTCAGAAAGAGACAGTTCTGGTCTGCACGAGTGGTAAAACGACAAATCTCGCGGAGAAGGTCCAGGCCACAGATGACTCTAGATAATGAGTGTAAAGCACAAAGTTCACAAGTGACATTTAAATCCGAGGTATTCATCCACCTTTAGCTTCTCCATAAATAATGGCCAGGTCTCAGATGTCTGGTTTGGCAAATGTTTGTAGATTAATAGGCATTGTACATAGTTTTTGGGGACTGAATGATTTCTTGGCAATTTCCAGGCCCATAGTGTACTGAAGCATGATGCCATTTCTGCTTCATTGGTAGCATCGCTGATCCATAAACAGCAGCAAATATCTAAACGACTTTGGGGCTTTTTGGAATGTTTTTTAAATCTTAGTCTTGCTGGAGTCCTACAGCCTAGTTCTCCAGGCTATTACTGTGCAATGCTGGAAGTGGTAGTTTGGGGCTGGGGCGTGTGTGGGTTCTTCTCCCTGTTGTTTGGGTGACTCTTGGATCAGCTACTTTGATTATGCAAGCTCCACGAATGGAAATTAATCTTGAATGGGTCTCCAAACATAACTAGGGAACAGACCTACTGTTGTGCTCACAAATCGTGACCACAGTACTGCATGGGGGAAGAGGCTGCTTCACATATATGCCTCATTCCCAACCTGTCCACAGCGAGAGCAAGTGCTAAGTATTTTCTAAGTCTGAAATAAAATTTGACTTTTTAATAATATTTTTTAGTTGCAGTAAAATTGCTGAGTCTAATTCTGTCTTGCTGGGATGGCTTCCCCCTTCCCCCACTTACTCCTTGCTTTTTAATCATTCAATATCACACAGCTGAGCTGTACACACCCTGCAGGCCACCTCTAGCACCGCTCCACACAGATTGGTCTAAATGTTGCTACTGACTTCATTAGGAGCATGATCACACATGCAGTATCATCGTGCTCTCTTCATTCTTTCACTCCATAGCCATGCTATACATAAATAATTAACACTAGTGCCCTTATTAACAATGCTTATACCCAGAGCAAACCCTTAATTTCTCTTAATTGTAGCCTTGCTGAGACTGCAGAGGGCACAGCTTGGGCGAGTGGCTTGGATTAACACAAGGGAAATGCCCAGGCTGGGTGCCAAGGTTTAGAGCTGTGTCGCCCGTTCAACCTACTCCGGTGGCAGAGGAGGGCTGTAGGCCACTGCCAGTCCTCTGCCACTTGATCCAATCTCCTTGTACCCACACAGTAGGTCTGGCATTTGCTGGTGTTGTCCTGTCTTGTCCTACTTTCTGTTCACGCACTGTGCAGCCCATATGCACAAGTCAAAATCCCTCTCTGCTTCTACTTTGTTTTGAGGGAAAGAGGTCAGACAAAGGTGGGCAGCTGCCAACGGACTATTTACCCTAACCTTCAGCCTGATCCCAGCTTGCCCCTTACAGAAAGAGCATGAGGCTTCAGCAAGATCACAGCTCAGAGGCTTATTCTGTCTCTGCTAGCACGAGAACAGGCTACTAGGGCTCAGCTGAAAGCTTACTAGGGCTCAGCTGAAAGGCTGATAGATGGTCACTCTAATTTTTTTAGACCTCTTATTTTTTTGTGAATTAGTGTAAAAATGGTGAAAAAAACAGACAAAAATGTCAGTTGTAGCATACCTTCATATATTTATTCTAGTAAAAACATTTGCCTTGGGAGCAGCTTCAGTAATTCAGGATTTTGCTGCATTGTGGGGGGACTTGGGTTCCGTCTTTGCTGCCCTATATCTGACAGTGTTGTCCATACTGTGCATGGTCATGCCAGTACATTTTTACATTGACCAATGTGCGAAGAACAAGGAAATGGAGAATAAGACCCCAAGGGCTTGATGAGTCCTTTGAAGTTATTGTGAAAATGCTCACATGACTTAAAGAGATTTTGGAGCACGTTCTTCAGCTTCAACTCTTTGTCAGCCTGCTTGGAGAAGGTTGCTTGGAGCTGACCTAACACCACGGATGTTAAGGTTCTCAAACTCCGCAGGAGATGAGGATTTGACTGCCCTCGCTTGTTTTCTGGCCAACAGGAGCAGGGATTTATCTGGGCTTCAAGATGAGTTCCTATAAGGTACTTCCACCCTATTGCCTCCCCCTCCATTCCTGAATCATCATGGTGCTCACTGGCAACCCTTCTGGCTGATGGAGTCAGCTTCAAGGATGCTCAGATGAAAGTGGTATTAGCACATCAGAACACACGATCTACATTACTGGCTGTAGCCCAGCTGCCATTCAAGCTCAAAGAGGCTGTGCTCTGCCAGGAAGAACAAGGCTCAGGGTATCTGCTGACAGGTGGGACTGTGGTGCGTTTGTCCAGCACGTGTCCAGCCCACAAGGGTCACCTGTGCGACATCGTGGGCTGCCACCCACCCCACAAGTGCCCTAGAGCTAGATGGGGGGGTTAAAATGCGGATGGATTTTATCTGTACCACAGGTGGCCTATCCTGAGAGCGTGCACTATGCTGGTGAACTCGTACTGTGGTTAAAACCTGCTAATCTTTCCCAGGATGTACTCACCTCCAGGTACACCACCCATGGCATCACCAAAGTAGCCACCAGCAAGTCCGCCACCGCCAGGCTCACCACAAGGTAGTTCGTTGTGGTTTGCAAGGTGCGTTCCCTCAGCACGGCTAAGCAGACCAGCACGTTCCCAAAGATGATGGCCAAAATCAAGATGCAGTAGCAGAGGGCGTAGTAGGCGTGTGAGTGTGGGGGGTCAGGCTCTGTAGTGTTGTCTGCCCCACAGGGAGCGGGGTCGGTGGTGTTAGGATGACTGCTGGCTCTTGTGAAGAGGGCCATGGGGGTGCCGCTGCAAAGGGAAAGGAAGAGGTGACTGAAAATCAGAGCTCTACAGTAATTGCGGGGAACAGTACCTTTTGGGGATGGTGTATGATTTTTCATACTTCCCTCAAGCCAGTTATAGAGGTCTTTCTTTTCCTGCTCATATATAGGCAGAGCCTTGCTCAAAGCCTTGCTTGGCCTGTTTTGGTGTTCATTGAATCTAAGCCAAGAGAAGAATGCAAGATTTTGCCTCCTGTGTGCATCTGAAAGGTGCACCTGTCGTGGTTTGGGCCTGATCGGCAACCAACCACCGCAGCTAATCACCCTCCCTTCCCCCTCCCCACCTGGGAATGGGGGAGAGGATTAGAGGGGTGAAGGGAGACTCGCAGGCTGAGATAAGGACAGTTTAATAATGGCAATAAAATGAGAACAATAACGATGATGGGGGAAAACAAAAAGAAATATGTAAACAGGCAATGTACAGCGTAATTGCTCCCCACCCGCTGACCAATCCCCAGCCCGTTCCCGGCCAGCGACCCCGAGATACCAAGATCCCACAATCGCAATCCCAGAAGCGAGAGAGAGAGAGAGAGAGCTCCTTCCCGACCACCCCTTCTTTATATAGTGAGCATGACGTTCCATGATATGGAATATTTCACTGGCCAGTTAGGGTCAGGTGCTGTGGCCGTGCTCCCTCCCTGCTCCCTGTGCCCTGGCGCACGGGCAGGACATGGAGAGTCGGGGAGTCCTTGAAGTCTCGGTAGCAGCTGAAAACATCAGTGTGCTCTCAGCATTCTTCCCATACCAAACCCAAAGCTAAATCCAAAACACAGCACTCATCTAGTCCCTGAAAAGGAATATTAACTCTATTTCAGCCCAAACTAAGACAGCATCTTACCAACCAATGCACCTGTACAGAAAGTGACAATGGTTTTAAGATGCACCAAAGTCACACCGCAGTACAAGTCAGCCGGGCAAGAGCGCAGTCTGAAAGACAACAATCAGTAGTGCTGAGGGAGACCCGACGCAGTTACCCAAACTATGGCTTGTCCAGAAGCTTGGACCTAGTATCTTTTCTTCTGGGAAGTACCCTCCCCCTTCCCTCATCAAAAAACATCTTCTATAACTTCATGCACTCGAGTGCTCGGCAGCCTGGCAGAGAGACCGCACCTGCAGTGCTCAAGCAGCCTCTTGAACCCTGGCCGCCTGGCAGCAAGCACCACCTACTGAATTACTCTTTCCTGCGACGTGTTTCTGTCTCAGGCCTTCTGCTCAAATAATGCTCTGCTTCAGCCCTGCCTGCCTTGCCAAAGCCTGACTGTCAGTGCTGCCCCCATTTCGTCCACACTGCGCTCCGTGTTTTCCATGCCTGGCCAGAAGACGCGCTTCCTGTGCTGAAGAGCAAATCAACTTGTCATTTGGGATGAACTAAGGGAAGGATGCAGGCTACTCTGCATTTCTTTTCCTTACAATGGATTCGTGATTGTGCTCAGGAACCTACCCTTTCTTGACTTCGAAGGAAGATGATTTTTTTTCCAGGAGTATGAAGGCTGCTGTCCCAGGGTTGTTCTGTGACATTTAATCGCTTGTATCCAATTTTTTTTTTCTTTGCTAGTGCTCCCACTGCTGAACTCATCATCAGCGTGACAGGTACAAAAGGCAAGGACAAAATGTTGCAATGCCAATGGTATAAATAATTCTTTGTTCCACCTCACCCCTTGAGCAGCAGCATCTGTGATGCACACACTCCTGGAAGAGTAGCTGTGCAATAGGTATAAATTGCTCCAACCCTTTGGCATATATTCATCCTTAAAACTGGTGTCTCTTGCCCCTGCTGCTTTGTAGTTGAGAGAGGGCAAAGGCTGAATGAGACAGAAACTGAACTTCCCTCTGTCCCATGAACACAGATCCCTCAGGACAGGGTTGAAACAAATCTCTTATGGCATGTGTTTTGTTTGAAAGTGCCTGTGCTTGCCTTTCCTTCTCTATCTTTCTTCTGCCTGCTCCTGACAAAGAAGTTAAGCCTTCCACTGGATCTGGAGGATTTCCCGTAGCGTGAGCGCTGCTGCTGAGCCCAGGACTGTTTGTTCATAAAACAGTTCAGCTGCAGCCACCTAAAGACAGGACTTGTTTTCCAGCGTCCCTTGCACTGACACAGCTCCCGCTCTGGGAAATCTGTATTGTCTGGGGCCATCAAAGGCTAGTTCTGTAGCATTGGGGAAAAAAAAAAAAAAAAAACAAAAAACAAACTACATTAAGCAGCTGCCTAGCTGATAAGCAAAGCCGTGACAGGGAATGAACAAAACATCACGCAGGGTACAACCAAAAGGCTTAAGGAACCGCATCACACGGTTTGCCTGCAGGTTTCCTGCCCCGTCTCCTGGCCCTTACAGCCTAAAGCACTACTTTCCTCTCTCACCTGGAGGCCAGTCTTCCCTCCCAGCACTCCACCCCCAATCCTGCCAGGCCCCCCAACCCTGGACTGCCCCACACCCCCCAGCCCTGCTCGCTCTGCCCGTGGCCGGGGTGCTGCCAAACCAGGCGAGTGCCAGGGGACCGGGGATGCTGATGTGCCGGGGTACCGGGACACCCACATATGGGGGGTGGCGGGACCCAGGGGTACAGGCACACCGGGACACCAGGGGTACCGGGGTACCCACCACCCGGGGCAGCCGGGCTGTGACAAGGGTCGCTGCCGTGGGGACGAGCAGACGGAGGGGAAAGGGAGGGATGCTCCTCCCGTAGGTCTCAGTTCGGACGGCAGGGTCCGAGCGTGGGGTACAGGGAGCAGGGGAGGGCTCCGGGGTCCGAGCGCAGGGTCCACGCGTGGCCGCGGCTTTGGGTCCGGCTCCGGCCGCGGGTGCTGCTCCGCGCCCGCCGCTCCGGCACCCGAGGGGCAGCGGCAGCTCCGCGGCTTCACCGCCGTGACCCCGGGCCGGGTCTGCCGTGTGTCCCGGCGATGCCGCGGGGGGAGTGGGAGGCTGGGGAAACCCGGGGCGGGGGGAGAGCTGCGGGGAAGGGAACCGCCGGCACCGGGCGGGAGGGGAGGCGGAGGGCAGCGATCAGGACTTACCCCCGGCCCGCCGGGCCGTGGCACCGCCGGTGCCGGTGCCGGTGTCGGTGCCGGTGCCGGTGTCGGTGCCGGTGCCGGGGCCGGTGTCGGTGCCGGTGCCGGTGCCGGTGCCGGTGCCGGTGCCGGTGCCGGCCCCGCTCCCTCCTGCCGCCCCCCCGGCGCGAAGCCGCGGGGCGGGGCCGCCCTGGCCACCTCCTCCCGCCCGCCCCCCGCCCCAGCCCCGCCGGCGGCAGCGCGCCGGGACCCCCCCCCACCCCGTGGCCGGGGAGGGGGGCAGCCGGGCCGGGGGCTGCGCTCCCCTTCCCGCCCTTAAGCGCCCCAGAGGTTGCCCCTTTCCCAAAAGGACCTGGCGGAGGGGTCTTGGTTCATTTTGGAGCCAGGGGCCGCAGCAAGGGTGTGCTTTGCTGAAGGGCTGACCGGCTTTTTCCTTGGGGGGGGGGGGGGGGTGGGAGGGAGTGGGGAAAGTAGAGAGCTGGGAACCCCAAATCCGGGTGGTGTGCTTGGCCCCAAGGCGCCGGTGTTGCGGCAGGGCTGGGGGAGATGCCTCGGCGGCGGTGGGAGGCAAAGAGGCAGACCCCTTCGGGGGAACGCTGCGAGCGTCTTAGAAAGTTCTCACTTAAAATGTTTAAATAAACTACCTTAAACCTGAGATGAAAAAGTGCTGGGTAACCGGGGAGGACGCTGAGAAGAAGAGCGATGTTTGGGGAAGTGTCCTTCTCCTGTCGGGACCGAGGCACGCCGCATCAGCTGTGGCTGGAGCGTGACCACAACCGCTGTCTCCGAGATGTGTTTTCCCTTGAGGTCTGAGACCAGGAGTCTGAGGCCCAATTCTCCTCAGTCTGTGGTCCCTAGGAGAGCTCTGCGGGGTACAAATGATCCCAGTGGGCCTTCTCTCTCCTAAGGCTGGGCTGAACCCACTGTTCCCTCTGGCACAGCAAGTGGGGCTCGCTGCGGGCTGTCGCGAGGGTGCAGGATGCTCGGCTGCGGGGCTGAGGTTCCCCTTCCCAGGCGTGCAAGAGTTGCAGGAGCAGCACTGCGGCCCTGGCAGGGAGGAGGGAAAGTACTCTTCCCCTTTATGCACCCGCTGGCCAGGGTGGCCACGGGCTAACTTGTAGGTGGGCAAGAGGAGGAGGAGGAGATACGGCAGAGAGCAGAGTCCATTTATTTGTTTTTAACAAATTAGTTACCTTAACAAACATGTTTTGGGATTCCAGCTGCCTGGTTTGCCTCTCCCGATTGCAGCTATCGGAGCTAATTTCTTTGCAGGTAAGGGTGGTAGGAGGGAGAAGTGCTGCAGAGAGCACTCGTACCCATGAGGTGTGAGGGGGGTGAGAGTCCCAGCTTTAGCCTGGCTGGGGATGGTGGAAGTGCCCATACAGGACTTGATGGGGACTAATCAGCACCAACGCCTTTAACCAAGGCTGTGACTACCCCGAGACAGGTTGGTGTATGATACTGGATGAGTGTGATGAGTCACTGCCTAGTCCCTACAGGTGACACATTTGCAGGTGTCCTTGGTGGAGGATATAACTGCCAGGCTATAGACCAAATGACCCATGAAGGGCTCTACAGCCCCCTTGTCCCCTTGGGAGCTCCAAAACGATGTGACGTGGCCTACATGTACTGTGCTTATCTTACATGTGTACAGCTGAACTTCTGCTGTCGTCCGCCTTGCACTGCTCACCTTCAGGGAAATGCATTTGCTAGCTGTGCCTGGAGACGTCAAGGAAGGGGGGGAAGCCCTCCCACCCATCCCCAGCAGTGGCTTTTTAGCTGTGAGCTTGGAAAGCGTCCAACACACCCACACTCGTGTGATTAAAACTGGAGGGAAAAGCACGCGCCGTGATGCTTGTTGTCTAGCGAGGGCTGTGGGAGTTGTGGGCTGGGTGCGAATGGCCGGTGAGCACGGCTCCTCACTGCGGGGCTAGAGAGCTGCAAAGAGCTGGAGGCATTTTAGCTTCTTTTTAGCATTTTTTTTTTTTTTTTTTTAAGTGCAGTTGATTTGTAGGTGAGTCCCCGAGGATTGTGGCCAGCAAGGTGCCCACATCAGCTGTAGGACGCTAGGACCACAAGGCACTACCGCCATACGCTTTACTGATGTCAACTGTTCAATGTTAATGGCTAACCATGGATCGATAAAGAGACATTAGCATGCACCTGCCCCCCTCCTCTAAGATAGAGGGGATCTGACAGGGGGAATCCAGTGCTTTAACCACAGCAGCACCCTTGTTCTGATTCACATCTTTATCTTCCAGCATTGAAACCTTCCCTGTTGCCTTGCCTTGCCTTGTGTGTCAGTGGAGCCCCTGGTGCTGCCTCTCCCAGGGGTCTCCTCACCCCTTAATTCATGTTACCCCCTCATCCCAGAGACCCCCATTGAGAATGCCCCAGCCCTTTACCCTCTCTGGTCCTGAGAGTTCTGTAGCAGCCTGTCCTCATCAACCTGCTCAGATTAATGAGGCAGATGGACAGTAGGGGCTTGTGAAACTTGTTTCTTACTTTAATTATTTTTATCTATTTTCTTAATATTACAGTGACTCTAGGAAAAAAAAAAATCCAGTTGTAAATGTTGCTGCCCTATTCAAGCTCATTCTCACCAGCAGTCCCTCCCCACCTCCTTCCTGCAGCGGCTTCCTTCCCACCTCGTTGTCCAATTTTCCTGAGGCTGGAATCTTTTTGGGGTAGGGATTTAATGACATTCTTGTGTTTGCTCTGCAGAGCAAGATAATAATCCATGTGATCATTTAATTTAGATTAGATTGTACCACACACAGAGACAGGGCTGAATTAAAATTGCATAAGCAATCCTGATTGTGATATTTGCAGTGATTATTTTTTTTTTTTAAAAAACATTACAACTTCTATAATACAATGCTTAGTGCAATGCCTCTCTCATAACTTTTCTTCTTTGTACCCCAAAATCCAAGTATGTGGCATATATTGGCCCCAGTTAAACACTGGACAAGTTGCAGCCCTTGGCTGTGACAACATGGTATCACAAGCATGGCAGAGAAACAGGTCAAGAATGCGTTGTAGGAACCTCAAAATGAGAGGCTGTGCCAACAGATTTCACAGGTGTATCCTAACAGCAAAGACTACTCAAACTCCTGCATCTCCAGCTCCATCACAGGCTTTCTGCCCCCACGTGCAGAAAGTTGAGAGGGGCCATCATTCCCAAACCTGGTCCGTTCCCTCTGGATCCCCCCCAGTCTGTTTCTCTGCCCTCACCTCCAACACCAACTCCCCTAATTCTTCTTTTCAGTCCTATGTGTCTCCAGGCTCTTTGGTAAAGATTTCAGATGACTTGGATAAATGTCAGTGTTCCCACTAATTTTTTCCCCATCTCCCTGCCCATCAGTCCCAATGTTCCTCTGTGCTAAGTTTGTCCAGTGAGTGGTTGTGCACTCCCAGTCCCTTGTGTCTCTTTCCAGCCCTTGCTCATGTTTCTTCCTTTGCTTTCTAGACACAGACTCAGCATCTTGTCCAGCTCCCAAACCTCTGTCAGCTTCACCCAGCCTATTTGTCCTTCCCCACTACCACTCCTTCCCAAGCTCCTCACTCTCCACCTTGCCAGCTCTGCCTGGGTTGCTAGTCCCCTGCACTCCTGCAGCTTAAAGGACTGTTTGCAAATGGTATTTGTTGTGCTCTCACACCATGGTTGCTGTCACTACAGCCAGCGTTTGAGGCACAGTGTCTAGTACGTGCCACTCGGGTGGAATAAACCTTCCATCACTCATCCTGCAAGCCAGAACACCCCCGTGGCAATGAGCATTTTTAAAATACTCTGCAGCCACGGAGGTTTGCAAGACCTGATGTATAAAGCCCTAACCTGACCCCATGGTTGACCCTCTTTGGAGCAGGATGCTGGACTAGACACCTCTGGGGGACCCTTCCCAAGATGAATTATCCTGTGCTGCCATGAAAATAACCTTGCCCGCTGGTGGTAAGTAAACAAGTCCTTCCTGGCTGGCACAACCGGCAAACTTCTGATGAAACTTAAGCTCATAATCATACCACCTAAGCAGGACATGCCTATTCAGTCTCAGTTGCTCTAAATTTTTTAAAAAACTCACTTGTTTTCGCAGCGGCTACCAAAAAGGAACTCAAGCAGCTTCAGGATAATATATGCACAGCAGCTTGCAGAACCAGTACAGGATCCTTGGAGAAATGGGAGGAAGCTATCACAGCTCACATCAAATAAGATTCACAGGAGATTCAGATCCTGCTGATACTGATTCCCTTCTGCTCAGCCTTATCCTTCCCTTTTCCCTCTTCCAGCAGTCTGGAAAGAGGTGGCACATCCCGAGTCTGCACAGTACACAGCGATGTGAGTTTAGCCCACAGGGAATGTTTGTCATGTAAATCGCATCCGCAGCGGATTTTATACAGTAAAATGATAATTCTACAAGGGTAGGTGGTAGCATAACAACTCTCTTTCTCATCTGGTGGTTAAGTATTAGTCTGGGACTTTGAGGTCCAAGTCCTTCTTCTGCTTCACCTAAGGTGTAATCTGGGATAGAGGAGCTCTCTGTTAGGCAGAACTGTGACTTCAGGCTCTGCATCCCATAAAGCAGGCTGGTCGGATAAAGCCAGCATCCTGCCAAACCCCTCTCTAAAATTACTGGTTTGATCCTATTTTCCTTTCATTATATTTTGGTTATGTTAGAACACGTATTTTTCAGTGTGTCCACGGAAGGACAGATCCTGTTGTGGTTTGTTTTCTTATGCATCCAGTCTCAGGCTACGGGTGCTGCTCGTGAGGAGAGGAGATGGGGCTTTTGAAAATGAGGAGGGTGACTTCTGCAGGGATGCCTGACAGAGGAAAGGCTGTGGAGGGGGGTCGGGGGGGATCATGCTGTCGTACCTCACCTCGTGGTGCCTCCCTATGGGCTCCACGCTGCACTGTGTGCAGGGAGCCCAAGGGGCTCGGCCGGGTGGAGCAGTTCCACGAGACACGGGAAGAAAAATGCTGGAGATGTGAGGAAAAGGGCGTCAGTGTTCAAAAGTACCGCTCTCCTCTCTGGGAAAACCCG